TCCCCCCCTTTTTTTTTTTTTTTTTTTTTTTTTTTCCTGAATGTTTAAAGAGTTTGCTGCAGTATGCTGCATTCCGTGTATGTTGCTTAGGGAAGCCAGGGAAACCGGATTCCACTAGTTCAAATGTTAATACTTGCAGGGGGGACCCTGGAGTTTTACGTAACATTTTGATTCGAGAAAGAGAAATGGCAAAGCGTGAATCTATGCTGCCTGTTTGGGGTGAGGCATAAAACGAGTTTTTATTCAAAGAATAGATCCATTGATTACTCAACAAAAACCATTTGAATTCTTGGGAGCATTCTTATTTTCTTGTTCTAGAAAATGTTCATACTGTCGTAGTTAGCTCCCGAATAAATAAAGTTTACGTTGATCCTATTATTTGAAAACAGACTCGTAATTAAGAAAAAGAAAAAAAACTTCATGGTAAATAATTATCAATTGGACGTTTAGCCAAAACAATACGTCTACTTCTTGGGAATTAGGGACCTACCTAGCTCTACAATGCCACGGCTTTAACCGAGTTTCAAAAGCACATTTTTAACAAGCCAGCAAGAGGTAGCTTTCTGACAAGTTTTTGATACTGTAGTTCAATGTTTACATTTCTTTTTCTGGCATGTCTGAGCCTTTGTTTCCAGCTTAAAAGTGGAACCATTATATTCAAAAGTAAAGCTGGGTTAATAATGCTTACTGCAATTATCTGATCTTTATGCATTTTTAATGAGAACACACAGCCAGCAGAATAATTTAATGAGGGCAGGCTAGCTTTTAAAGCTGTGTTTTCACTGTGCCGAACCATATCAACTTTCTAGCCGAGAAGCAGCAGTGAGAAATGATTGAGAAGATTTATTTTTAACACACTTGGCCCAAGAGAAGGAAAGGATATATTTGTTAAAGAATTCTTTCTGCCCTTTTCCGTTTTAAATTTCTGCCAGGCATGAGGAAACTGTGCTTTTTTGTTAGGCCTCAGAAGCATATGTTTACAATAAATGTGTAACATTTTTAGAATAGTTAGCAAGCACTGAAGCAAAGAAAAAAAAAAATCTGACTTGCCTAACCATCACCACCGTGGATGTTATTCAAGAAACATCACTGGCCTTTGAAAAGACAAAGGTTAAGTGGAAAGATATTTGTTAATTGAGTAATATGTGCATTTTGAGGATAATAAAGTAAAAAGATAAAGAGGTTCTTATAACCTGTACATAAGATGAACTTTCTTCAGCTAGCTTGCCTGTTTTGGAAGAAGCCTTAGAAGTACTCATTTAAATAAGGGCAATGCCACGTAGATTCTTCCAGACCCACTGTTTTTACTTTCAAGGAGAAGTGCAGGACACTAGCCCAGAACTTCTGACGTCATCTCCCAACTATTTCTGCTGTGTGTTGTTTTATTCAAGCTCGTGGAGAGGAATATTTTTTTATGTCGTTCTAACTCTCACTTGGCAGGTCTTGAGTTAGGTCTTCATATTCCCGTCCTTTCTAAACCCTAAACCGACCTCCAGCAGAAATAGGGCATCTCCTACCTGCTTCCTCACGTCGGGCAGGTCAGGGCGGTTTTTCTGCAGGACCCTGGCTGGGCTGACTGGAAGCGGCAGGGAGTGGAGCACGGCTCTGCTTCGGGTCCCACTTCCCCTCAGTGCAGCCCAGCACTGCCCCCTGGGCGGACAGTCCCCGTGGCCCCATTCCCAGCTCCCCCAGAGCCACTTTTTAGGACCCAGGTTATGCCACCGAGTTTGCGGCTGGTCGTGATGGGGGCAACAGCGGCTCTGATAGAAAGAGCACCGTGTCCTCGTGCAGATGGACCCAAGGAAGGGCAGTCCGGTACTGCAGGCTGGTCATCCCGTGTCACAAGTGGCAACCTTGGTCGTCGCGATCAGGGGATGGTTAGTTTTTAATAAGGAGGATTTTCAGAAAGAATTTCCGTTAGAACAGCTTGGAGTTCTCGGGAGTTCCCAGTCCTTGTCTGCATCCTCTTTAGGACCGCTTGTGTTGTGTAGCCTCGAGCAAGCACCCAACTCAATTTGTCTCTCTCTTAATAGAATTGAATAATACTTGCTACACTTTCCTTCATACTTCTAGCATTTTGAGAGAGCTTGACCTTGCCGCCAAAAAACAAAAAAAAAGTTGTTTGTCTCTTGACACAGTGAGCTAGTTAAAGTACAAAGGGATAAAACCTCCCTATTAATGAAACTGGTAAATGCCTTAGGGTGTTAAGATATATAGTCATATATACAGAGCCCTTCAACCTACTTCACGTTCATGTACATTTTCTAGGGATATTTATCCTTAGACCAACGCATACAATTTCCAAGGAAATCAGAGCATTGCTGTGTGCATTTTCTCCGTTGATCTTGAGCAATATACTAGAAACTGTGCAAACCAGACCCTTCAGACACAGGCCTTGCAGTGCCCAAAGCATTTAGTGCTATCTTTCTTTGACTTTGGTATTACCTGTGTGCAAGTGGAGTGAATGAGAGAGAAAAGGAGAGGAAAGGAGACAAATACGCTTGTGAAATCTACTGGTTGTGTAGCGTTACTGGTTAACAGCCTGGCTTCTCCCTGCTACTTGTTTTAATTTGCTGTTGCTATGGTAAAAACAAATCAATATCACATGGCTACCAGCCAGTCCCGCTCGGGGAGTGCCACAGAGATTCAAGATCAGGTACTCACGCTTCCAAGCAAGAATCGGGAGAAGCGGATTCAGACGTTGAGGTTGAGGGATTTCCTTATGGGAGACTGATAAGGCTTAGGCTTGCGTGCGTTTTCTCTTCCTTTCTTCCTGCACTTTCCTACCGGTAACGAGAAAAGCTGGGTATTGTACGGCAACGAGATGTCAATAAGAAAAATAAAAATGGGAAGGCCTACTGATTTGTTTACATTTTCCAAGATGACAAAACATATTATCAACATAGAAGGAGGCTGGCCACGTGGCAAGTGGCAAAGGATTCTGATTAACGAAGACGTGGGACACCTGCAGGACCTGTTGGTTGTGAAAACATAGTTTGGGGTCTTGAGTAGCCCCACGTACAGCTGCACAGGAGAGCTGGTAGGTCAGAAACAGTTGTGACTGCCGTGTCAGGCAGAGAAAGCTGGCATCTCTGGGGAGTAGGTGGGCAGGGGTGCGAGGGGCGTTATGGAAAGATAGGGAGGTGTGAGGCATCAATGTCAGCCCGTAGCAAAGTCACGAGAAAGCTGTAGGTCCAAAGGCAGGCCAGGTGAGCACGGAAGCCCGGGGGTTGAGCAGCACAGGGGCAGGACACTTAGCTCCTCTCATAAAACCTGCCTGAAGCCCAACCTGAAGGCCCAGCAAAGAGAGAGAGAGGACGTGGCTGTGAAGAGAAGTAAAGATGTCATGTGCCCAGGCATACTTTCTGGAAGGAACCAGATGGGCACAGATGTCCCCTGCCGGGTGGAGCAAGGAACTTGGTACTTCATGCTTTGCTTTATTTCAGAAGAACGATGCAGGAAGACCTAGCTGGGCTTTGTAAATTAGTTGCAATACTGTTTTTTACCTCCAGATTTTTACTCAGCTCTGTTGTTTTTTGGTTTTTGTTGTTTTGTTTTGTTTAATGTGCACAAACTGTTAGTTGCAGCTGTGATAATATTCATAGTAAGGGGCTCAAGGTGGCGTCATGGCTGGTCTGCATCAGGCCATGCCTCCAATTGCTCAGCCTCATTGAGCTGAAGCTGGTCCCCGCTCTGTTGCTGAGAGTGAACATAGGTGTGAAAGGCGAGGCCATAGGGTTTATTCTGTGATCCAGAGCCACAGTGCTGATGGATAAGTTTTCGGCTGGCCTGCTCCCCTCAATATGGCAGAAACGCTTGGTAATAAAAGTGGACCCACCGATTTACCTTAGTGCTCTGACAAAGATGGCATTGTCTCCGAGATCCTAGGTCGGTATATTCCATCAATCAGTCAACAAGTGTTTATTAAACACCTCTTGGCTCCCCTGGCTTTTGCCATTTGGTTAGAACAAGTCAGTTACCTAATAGCTAACTCTGAGTATGTGCAAAATGTAGGACAGAAAGAAACAATGCAGAACTGTAAGTTTCAAAGACTTTAATAATAACTTTATTGGCTAACATTAATTTAACATTGTTAACCATCAAACATTAATTGTAGGTTAGAGACAGTTTTGGTGTTTGGGGGAGGTATAAGAGAAGGAATTTTGAGTTTTAACTCTGTAATTTCTTCACCTCTACTATATTTCTCAGCATAATACTGTTTAAATAACGTATAATGATGTACGATCAGCAACAGACGTATGAGAATGCTGCCTCCACAAATCCAAAATATGAGGCTATGGAGAGCATTCCCGCTGTCTCAGCAAGCTGAGAGAGAGCCCCAAAATGACTGGGGAATATGGGTGCGTCGTCCAAAAAGATTTTAGCCATCAATCAACAAAAGGAAATCCTAGACCCTCTCCCACACTTCTGAGCCTCGGGGTGGCTGAGATCTCACCGTCCCCATCCCAGCAAGGAAACCTGATTCCTGACCCTGGAGGGTT